GTTTTATAATTAGAAGGGTAGCTGAGAATCAGTCAAAACTTCAAAATTCTGTATCAGAATAATGATCAGTGACATAAAATAAACTGGTGAAATGAAGAGTAGAGTCCTGATTTCTTAAGAAAAAGGTAGATATATAAATCGTGATTAAAGAGAATCTGAGAAGAACTGAAAAGCAATAAAACCAAATGACAAAAAACTGTATTTTTCCTCCAGAGAATTTCAAGTTGCTTTCAGTAAAAACAGAAATAACTTAATTATCCCTGCTAAAAAAAAATATGCAGCTTCCAGAGTAAACAGTAAGCAGTTGAGGGAAAAGGATAAAAATAACAACAATAAAACTTATTGGAAAAAAGAGAATTAAGTAACTTAGTAAATGCAGGGCTCCTAGAAACAGAAGAGTTACTACTGGACTTAGAACACAACATATATTTTTTGACTTTAAAATATTATCCAACAATCACTCCAATATGTATTTACTGAGTGGCTATTACATGTCAGGCATGTAGAATATAAATATGAATATTTATGAAGAATATAAAGATGAATATGGCATCTTTATTCATCTACATTTGAGGAAATTATACTCTAGAGGAGACAAATTCATAAAACAAGCAGTCAATTAATAAATGCAGTGGTAACTACACAGAGGGGCAAGGAATAGCACTTTAGCTAGGTATAATGGCACCTTAGTGAGCCCAAGGCTAGGATGAGGGAGTTTCCTAGAGAAAGCGAAGTCAAAACAAAGTCTTACCAGATAAGTAAGTCAGTTTAAGAAGTGAGAAGAAAATCATGGCAAAGGAGACAAAATGAGAAATGCCCCAGAGATCAATAAAAGCACGGTGTCTGTGAGGAGTGACAGGTGTTTCTAAGTTGCTGGAACATGAAATAAAAGGCAAGAAGTGATGGGAAATGAGGCTGGGTGGCAAGAAGGGGCCAACTGTTTGTTCTTTGAAAAATTTAGATTTTATGGTTCTTATGCAAAACGGCTCATCAGAAGCCAGGGAGCTTCTCAAACATACTGATACTTAGATACTTCTCCTCAAAGAACCTAATTCATCAGATTTAAAGAAGAGGACAACAAACTGGAACTTTCAAACGGTTTCCCTAGGTAACTGTGCTGTACTATATTCATTGAGAGAACTACTGTGATAAACACTGCCTTCAGTCCAGACTTAAACCTATTTACAAGGATAGAACAGGTTAAAAAGGAAGGTGGGAAGGTTTGGTAATCAATAACAGTACACTCTAAGGAACTCAGAGAGAGAAGCAATTCATAGGTAAAGACAAAGGAAAGAAAAGCTTGGCTCTAAATATATTTTACAAATCAGGTAAGTGACAAAAAATAAAGAAACTATGGACAAAAGTGAGTTAAAATTCTGAAGATTTTGACTTTAAATTATCTAGATGCATAAAATTTACATCCAGGACTTATAACAATTTTTAGCTAAATAAAATAATTTTGCTGTATTCTTTGAAAACAGAGAAAGAATATAGCTATTAAGAGAATATGTTTAAAGTCTGGATTAAATCCATCACATAGAGACCATCGATAGGTCATAATCTCTACATGACCTCAGTTTCCTCATATGTAAAACGGGTACAAAAATTATATGCATCTTACAGAGTTCTGGTGAATATTAATTAGATGATACATATAGAGCTCACATAACTTGAAACATAGCATACAGTTCAATAAATGTCAATTCTTATTGTTAATGTAATCCATATCATTACCTAGGAGGCTACAGTAAAATGACTTCAGAGCATATAAATAAACTTACTCTCACAGTAAAGACAATTAGAATCAGCATAGAAGGAATGATGTCAAGCTATAGAAAAACTAATCAGAGATGTTCTCTAAATGTGCAGCTGAAAAAACCTGGGAACCATATAAACCCCATCAAAGACTGCAAAAGGTTTTCAGAAAGTACTATTAGGAAGGAAATAAAAGCAAACAGCAAGCAAATACCTCTTTGAACAATCAGACACCCCTCTTTTTAGGGGGTGTGTGTGTGTGTGTGTGCACGCGCGGTCAGCCGTATTCAACTCTCTGCAAACCCACAGACTGTAGGCCACCAAGCTTCTCTGAAGTAAAAGCAAACAGCAAGCAAATACCTCTTTGAACAATCAGAAACCCCTCTTTTTAGGGTGTGTGTGTGTGTGTGTGTGTGTGTGTGTGTGCACGCGTGGTCAGCCGTATTCAACTCTCTGCAAACCCACAGACTGTAGGCCACCAAGCTTCTCTGTCCATGCAAGCAAATACCTCTTTGAGCAATCAGAAACCCCTCTTTTTAGGGTGTGTGTGTGTGTGTGTGTGTGCATGTGCGGTCAGTCGTATTCAACTCTCTGCAAACCCACAGACTGTAGGCCATCAGGCTTCTCTGTCCATGGGATTCTCCAGACAAGAATACTGGAGTGGACTGCCATTTCCTCCTTCAGGGGATATTCCCAACCCAGGGATTAAACTCATGTCTCTTGGGTCGCCTGCATTGGCAGGCAGATTCTTTACCACAAGTGTCACCTGGGAGCCCATCAGATTAATATATGACTTAGAATATCTGACCAGAAAGAAGAATTCAGCCTATTAGTTCCTAGGATAGCAATGGCCAGATGACATTTAATTTATACCCAGTTTTCTTGTTAATAAACTGCAATATTTATGTTAGAAACAATTAACTTTTAAAACTATGCTGAAAAAAAAGTGTTCTACAAAAGAAAAATGGAAGATCAAGTTCACAGCGTCATGCTAGCCTGCAAGAGAAACAGAATCTGATGACATAGAAGCAACCTAAATATCCATCGCCAGAGGAATGGATAAAGATATGGTATATATATTCAATGGAATATTACTCAGCCACAGAAAGAATGAAGTAATGCCACTTGTCATATTGTGGATGGACCAATAGAGACTGTCATACTGAGTGGAGTGTCAGACAAGAAGAAATATCATATGATATTCCTTATATATGGAATTTTAAAAATGACAGAATTAAACTTATTGACAAAACAGAAACAGTCACAGATATAGAAAACAAACTTCTGGCTACCAGCAGGGAAAGCAGGAGCTGAGGGGAGGAAGGGATAAACTGGGAGCCTGGAATTGACATGTACACACCACATATATAAAATAGATAACTAATTAAGGACCTTCAGTAAAACACAGAACTCTTCTCAATACTCTGTAATGACCTCGAAGGGAAAAGAATCTAAAAAAGGAAGGATATAATATATACACACAACTGATATATTCTGATGTATAGCAGAAACTAATGGAATATTGTAAATCATCTATACTCTAATTAAAATTTTTTAAAAAGACAGCAATAGAATCTGAAGATATAATGCCCAAGCATTTACAAAGTACGCCTCTGAACGTGGAAAAACATTCCCTGAGAGTGACTAATTCTTTATCCCATATTACTTTGGTCTAATGATTTCTTTCTTTTTTTTTTTTTTAATGATTTCTCTCTTGATTCCCAGACTTTGGGCTCCAAGAGCACAAGGACTATATTCACTGCACTCACAGCAGTAATCCTACTATCAGCACAGTACCTGGCAGGAGACCCTCAACAAGTACTTACTGAAAGAGTAAATGGCTTCCCATTTTCTCTTGATTCAGAGGACAATGAACTTGGGTAGGATTCTTCCTGCCAGACTGTATTTTTGATTGTTAGTTAGGCTTACCAAGCATCAGTTGTTTTCATGTTCAAACCTTTTATGTCAGTTGCCTTTGTTATTATAATTTCATAATTTAAGCTATATGTATACTCACTGATGAAGGGAAAGTGGGAACAATTATTTCTATGGACATCAAGTGGGCTCTAAAACTACTGTGAACACTATCGAGGCTCTGCTGTTGGTGTTTAGTCACTAAGTCACGTCCGACTCTTTGTGACCCCATGGACTGCAGCCCACCAGGCTCCCCTATCCATGGGATTTTTCCAGGCAAGAATACTGGAGTGGGTTGCCATTTCCTTCTCCAGGGTATCTTCCTGACACAGAGACTGAACTCACATCTTGTGCATTGCAAGGCGGTTCTTTACCACTGAGCCACTATAAAAACCTGGGTGTTAAATTAGGTGTGGGTAAGACAACCCAGCTATAAGGGCTTCCCTCATAGCTCAGTCAGTGAAGAATCTGCCTGAAATGTAGGAGACCTGGGTTCAATTCCTGGGTTGGGAAGATCCCCTGGAGAAGGAAATGGCAATCCACTCCAGTAGTCTTGTCTGGAAAATCCCACGGACAGATGAGCCTGGTGGGCTACGGTCCACGGGGTCGCAAGAGTCGAACACAACTTAGCAACAAAACCACCACCAAGACAACTGTAAAAGGTTAGATAAAAAGAATCTTAAAAATTTACAAAGGTTTTTAAGTATAAGGAGTATAAAGATTGCAGGATCTGATCTTTATTCTCTATTATACAGTCCATTACATTATTCTATTATATAGTCTACATGGAATCTCTACAGAAAAAGTCTTAGCCTTACATCCACGGATTGATAAATAAACATACATTTAAGTGTTTTAAAGTAAAATAAAATGTTTGAGTTATACATCTTATGTTTGATTCCCCTTAATTAATTAGCTGGTGACCCAGATCATTTTGATAAGAAGGCTTTTTTTACTCTTACCAAGAAATGATGTGGTACATACAACATAAATTAAATAATCATATGTCTGCATGTTGAAAAAAATCACTGTTTTTTGCTCCACCTTTGCATATATCACAATTCATTGTAAGTAAATGCTTGTTTACTTGACAATATTCCCTACTAAACTATAAATCCCTTGGGAAAAGTGATCATGTCAATTTCTAATTTCATAGTGCCCAGTACTTGGTAATGGTTTCCAAATAGGTGCTCTTTAAACACTTTTTAAATGAAGAAAAAAAAAATTGCAATTCCGTTTAAAATAAACAAAAGATCTGAGCAGTATCATATGGCTCTTTAGTACCAATTAATAATAAAAATTAACACTACATAGAAAAGACAAATTCTTACCAATTTATAGCCCCGCCATCACACTTGTCCATAAGCAGTGCTTTCCAACATTCATGAGTAGATTTAATGATTTCAAGAGCAAAAGCCTGGTTAAAAACCAAAAACAGATATAGCAATCACATCATTATACTGTTAATAACTTGGAACTAGTCATAGTATGACAGTTAATTATTAAGAACATGAGCTCTGGAGTCAGGCAAACCTAAGTATAACTTCTCACATCCTTATTTACCAGCTGTGTGACTTTGTGCAGGTTATTCAATGTAATCGTCTTAATTTTTTCTTCTTTAAGATGGAATGTAATCAAAATCAACTAAATCAGGAGCTGGCACACTTGGGCCTTTGGGTCAAATCCAGCCTGCCACATGTTTTTGTAAATAAAGTTTTATTGAGCACAGTAATGTTCATCCATGCAAATCTGTGCACAGCCTCTGACTGCATTAGTGCTACAACGGAAAAGCTGAGTAGGTGTGACAGAGGACATATGGCCTGCAGGTCTAAAATACTCACTATCTGCTCTTACAGAAAAAGTTGCCAACCCGATTTAAATCACAGCGTTGCTGAAAGAATAAACAAGATGGCTGCACGTAAACTGGTTAGCCTACTGTCTGGATTGTAACTAAGCACAAACTTAATAATTTCATCATCAACAATGCTGCAAGTAGTTTAATTGAATAATCATTTTAGACTATCTACTGTCTAAAGGTAATAAACCTCAACATTTTAAAAATCTTTTTCGTAAGTGTGAATTCATATAGTGTCTAAAAATGAAAACTCAACAATAGACACATATCTAGTAAGACCATTTAAGGAAAACTTGCTTCATTTTTTCCCTCAAAATGTTGCTAAATTTCCTTAAGCAGAGTCCTTATGTATTAACTAAGTCATAGTAGCTCCTCTCTTTCTCAGTGACAACTAAACACATTATGATATGAAGAAAATGATGGCAAATGTACTTCTGAAGGAAAAACTTTCCCTCAGGTCTTCTGTTGCCTGAGATGAAGAAGATGGCTTGGTGAGGTGGTGCAGGGGAGAATCTTAAGGTATGGGACAAAAAGTCAACTTATTATTTGGAAAATACATGGAAAGATTTTTAACTATATTATTCGGATAATTCTGATTATCAAAACAGATTCCAGCACTTGCTTTAAGCAGTCAGCATGAAAAAAAAAAAAAATCTAGATTACAGCCTACAGCCATCTTTTCAACCATGTTGAAGAGAGATAATTCAATTTTCCTGGGTTAGGCTCAATATATTAAACAGCAGGGATAAAAAGCAGTGCATAAAATGATTTTTTTTCTGAAGGGATGCATAAATGACCCAGTCTTCATTCAGAAAAAAATTAATGTTTGTCGAAATCAAACCCCCCAAATTCCCAAACTACCTCATTCTTTTATAAATTCATGGAATGACTTGGCAGTTCAACCCCAAGGTAATAAGGGGCCACAAAGGTACACATAGGTTTGAAATGTGTATTGTTTCAAACATAAACTACAGCATACATTTTAGAGGAAAAGGAAAAAAATAATTTATTTTATAAATTTTTAGTATTTTTTGTGAGAGATCACAGCCTAGTAGTTTTATATCCATATTTAATAAATCCTAGACAAAGCCTTCAAGATCTTAAGGGTTAATATACCTTTTAAAAATACTGGGTTCAGCAATAAGCTCTTGTATAACAAAATACTTACTATAATTTTGAAGTTTTTATGACCATGGCTTACTTAACTTACAAAACATACTGTATTTATTAGTACCCACTTAAAGGCTGGTTTATAACGTGAAACTTAGATAGTGGCAATACATTTAAAAGTAGTATAAATAAATAAAACAAGTAGTCTAATAGTTTTAGACTTTAATTCTGGTCCATTTTCTCCATTTGTGTCATATTAGAGTCACTTTTTGGTAACTTTGTGGTTCTCTAATATAAAAACCCTCTGACAGTAAGACAATTCAAATTCTTTCTTAACTGTTAAGTAGCTGAATTCAGTCATGATAGAATGAACACAGGAGGGAAGCCCCTTTGGATTTGCATTAATGGTAAGTAATTCCCTCCTCTCCAGGAAAGTAAAATGAAAGATTTTTCTTCATTTACAAATTTACAGAGTTAGACTGATCATGGAAATCTTTTATTTTCTGAGCTGAAGGAGATATTGATAGATAAATGGATGGATATTTACCAGTCTTACTGATTTACTTAGAGCTCCTAAAACTTTTTAAAAAATAAAAACAATGTCCTTAAACATGAAAGTCAGTAGACAGCAGTACTTTTATTATCATACTATCCACAAACATTCACATAAGAGATCCCCTAAAGTGAAAACAATGTGGTAGAGGTATCACAGGCACATTTTAAAATAAAGATTATCAACTTCACCTTGTTCTTGAATTCTCCATTAAAAGCAAACTGGTTTTCCGGTTTTCCCTCTGGTATCTTATAAAATCTAAACCAATTAAGCGTAGCTTCTAAGTAACCAGGTTTGTACTTCTTAACATCTTCAATGTCTGCAAGTGAAGAAACAAAAATACTTTTCGTTTAAAATCGAAATCCACTCCTTTAAGAGGTAGAGCATTGGACTGAGGGAAGGGAGTTAGTCCGATTCTGCCGCTCACTAGCGGCATAATCAATGTGTATCATATCACCTCTGAACTTCCATTTTTTAATATGTAAACTATTACACCTTTATTGTACAAGCATTTCTTGAGCACCTTCAGATACCATGTTACGTACAGGGGATAAGTTGGTGAAGGCAACAAAGATCTTTTCCTCAAAGAGATCAAAGTTGTTTTTTTTTCATTTATTTTTATTAGTTGGAGGCTAATTACTTTACAATATTGTAGTGGTTTTTGTCATACACTGACATTAATCAGCCATGGATTTACATGTATTCCCCATCCCGATCCCCCCTCCCACCTCCCTCTCCACCCGATCCCTCTGGGTCTTCCTAGTGCACCAGGTCCGAGCTTGTCTCATGCATCCAACCTGGGCTGGTGATCTGTTTCACCCTTGATAATATACATGTTTCGATGCTGTTCTCTCGAAAGATCCCACCCTTGCCTTCTCTCACAGAGTCCAAAAGTCTGTTCTGTAAAAGTTTTAATTAAAAAAAAAAAAACCACGAGCAGATAAACAGCAAATTGCATTAAGTAAGATATACTCAGGACAGCTGTCATTCTGAGGACAAGCCGGGGTTTAGGGCAGGAAGAGCCACAGCGTCAGGATCTGAATTCCGCATGTACTAAGCTGAGGACTCTGAGGGGAGACTCGGGGGGCATACCCATAATAGAAACCACGACAGCTGCATGGGAGGCTTCCACCGACTCCTGCATCGACTGTTTAGTAAGTTCCTCACTATGTATCAGACACTGCTGTAAGCCACGAAACGGAACAGCAATCAGAAACAAGTCCCTGCCCACAAGATTACATAGAAGGAAGAGACAGACGACAAATAAAGAAACAAATACAAAATTTAAGGGATGAAAAGTCTGATGAAGAAAAATAAATCGAAGTAAGACAGAGAATGTGGTCAAGGGCTATTTTAAACAGAATTACATGAATGGTTCAGTTTTTCATTTCAAACTAATAATGATTTATAGGGTTTATCTTCAAGTTCTATTACCATGTAAACACCTTAACCATTCCATTTTGAGGACATTCATTTAAATATTAATGTAATTGGAAATACTACAGCATTAGTAATAGACCCTCCTCCCCCGAAAGAGGCCCCCAGCAACGGATCATTTCCAAAGCTATCAGTTCAGGAAGCATGAGAGGCACGCGGCCTCCCGGGCTCCAGCGCTGCCTCCTCCTGCCCTCCGGCGCCGCTGTGCGCTGCTTCCGTGCAGACCTGGAACCTCTCGTGGGGCGGGGCTGAGCACGCTCCCGGCGCTCGCACGGCGGACGAAAAACCCCAAGCACCAGTCAAGACTGAGAACAACGATCACAGTCATTTGAAATTGGTGGGGCAGTTCAAAATCAAGAGGCACACACCACTTAGTAAACTAATGAAAGCCTACTGTGAACGACCGGGTTTGTCAAGGAGACGGATCAGATCCCGATTTGATGGGCATCCAATCAAGGAGACAGACACACCTGCACAGCTGGAGATGGAAGATGCAGATACCATTGATGTATTTCAGCAGCGGACAAGAGGTGCCGACTAAACAGGGAACTTTATCCTTTACTCGTGGTGGCTCAGGTGGCAAAGAATCCGCCTGCAGTGCAAGGGACCCCAGTTCTATTCCTGGGTCAGGAAGATCTTCTAGAGAAGGGATAGACTACCCATACCCACTCCAGTATTCATGTGCTTCTCTGGTGGTTCAGCTGCTAAAGAATCTGCCTGCAATGCGGGAGACCTGGGTTCGATCCCTGGGTTGGGAATATCTCCTAGAGAAGGGAAAAGCAACCCACTCCAGTATTCTGGAGAATTCCATGGACTGTATAGTCCATGGGCTCACAAAGAGTCGGACAGGACTGAGCAAGTGACTTTCACTTTCACACTTTACTTCATAATTCTGTTCCTCCAGATCAAGAAGACATTTTCAACTAGAAAACTGTAATTTGGTTCCACCACATTCTGACTACTACAATACAGTTTCTCTATTCTTTCATTTTCCCTGCTCCATTCCTTTATTGTACATGAAGCAACTGGTGTATGTGCACAAGCATATTGGATTTTTTTTTTAACTGAATGGCCAATGGTATGTTTTGACTGGCATCAAATATAGATGGGATGGGGAAAAAAAACAATTCTGTGAAAATACCCCTTTTTCTCCATTAGTGGCATGCTCATCAGCTCTTACCTTTATATTCCACTGTTATTTTTGCTCTGTTCAACAAAAAAAGAACAGCATAAAAATTCTTACATACCTTGGGGAAAAAAGTATGAGAAATATCTAGATAAAACTGGGAGTCTTTACCTCCACTAGACTGTGGCTTAACAGAAATTTAGCATAGTCCTTTATTCACAATATGTTATGGCAAATGACACAAATAGCACTTGAAAGATTAGAAGGCTGTAACTAAAACCAGGAGATGACACCAAGAATAGGGATCATTTAACGATCACTCAGTTTCAGATCTGCTCATCCAAGTCTTGTGGGAATCCCCACTCACTAGGCATGACAAGAAAAGGTATGGGTTGAACAGAGAGAAATTATCCTTTTCCTTTTTATGCTTGCCTTGTGCCTTACGTAAAAATCAAGCAAGAGTGACATGTCTTTAAAGGCCAGATGTTTCACATAAGTGAAATAAGTGTAGTAAGGCAGAAACCATAGGAATGGCAGAGAATATGGCAAACAACTGAGTATGCTGCCTAAAGGCACTCAAATTTAAAATTTTAAAACATGTCAAAGGGCCACATTATCTAAAATAATTCTGGAGCAAACTGCAGAAATGCTACAACTAGCTAAGAGGAAAAAGAATCCCTTGAAACTGAACACAGACTACACCAGCTCTATTAATCAGATGAGTACATATTAACTGACAGAAGATGTTTAAAACAGTGAATTCCAAAGATTAAGATCACATTGTTTTAGTATTGTACACTGTATACTAGGACACAGAGTTCTTTGTTATGCCCCCAATAGAACATTCAATAGATTTCACCTAATTAAATTCTGATTTTTTTCCCCCTTATCTTATAAAAAAAGTTTCCTGCCAAAGTGAGTTTGTATTGACCATTTTCCTACATTCTATCTCTATTTTGGCAAAAACCAAAAAAATCTCTGTAAATTAACTGAGCTCCTTCAAATCACTGTTTTCTTACTGGCAGGAAAAAAATATCTTTTAGTCTATGGAAGGTGAGCAACCAGAAATGCACTTTAATCAATGTCCAAAATGAATAATTTTCTATTACTTATTCTTGCCTGGAGAATCCCATTGACAAAGGAGCCTAGTGGGCTACAGTCCATGGGGTTGCAAAGAGTCGGACACGACTGAGTGACTAACACACACACACAAATCTGATTTATGGTATCATTATACCTTGCCCAATCTGCCATCTTTTGTCCCACTGCATAAACCATTGTTTTTTTTTTTTATATAACTGCTTTTTAACACACTGACTTCAAATAAGAAAGGAAAAGCTAAGTTATTCAGTATCCGTATCAGTTTGCAAGGTTTTCCCTTCAGAAGTTATAAAGGGGCTCTGTTAAGAAATGACATAAATAACAAAAAACCTGAACATTTAATAATGCCAATAAGAAGTATAACTCTCCAAATATAAGTCAAACTTTTCCATTCCCAATTAATTATACCCTGAAGCAAAATCAGCTGCATTTTCAAAAGAACCAAAACATTTAAAATAAGTAATTTAAACATTTTAAAATCTCAATAGCAAATGTCTCCAGCCAAGACTTTACATACAATACTAAGTCAGTTCAATGAATTACTCTTCCAAAAATATGAAAAATTCTACCTAAGTCTATAAACTGATTTACAGTTCCTTAAAGATTTTTATATAAATAATCTCATTTGTTCCTCATAAAACTCCTGACAGTTGTGAAAAGTAAATTTGCATTAAATGTTAAGAAAACTACAGCTAAAAAAATGTAAAATTTGGGAAAAATGCTTCCAACTCATTCATGGTAGAACTAGTATTATACAAATACAAGTCCACTAATTCCATGAATCCTAGCTTTTCTTCTATATTGCACATTGATAATCTGTCACAGGTTTATTTATATTATTTTAAAGTATAGATGTATTCTTATTTTGGTTTTATTATGGTCAAATATCCATAACATAAAATTCACCATTTTAAGTGTTTGTTTCAGTGGCATTAAGTACATCCACAGTGTTGCACAACCAGCACTATTAGCCATCTTCAGAATTGTTTACAATATATGTTCATTGTAAGAAAAGCAGCAGTTCTCTAGTGGTCATCTACTTCCACTCCTGGAATTAATTTTATATGAAAGTTTCTATAATAAATAATTATATAATTTATTTTCAAGATGAGCTAATCCAAAAATAAAAGAATACTCTAGAAGTGCTCCTTTATCTAATCAAGCTAAGCTTATTTCAGTTCTCTTTTTAACTACAAATCAAACTCTTTTCATTGAGATCTACTCAATCAACTCCCTGGACGATTAACAAAGACTCTACTTCTGTAGCATATTCTGCCTGATGTCGACAGTAGTCTGTCTGCTGAGTCTAGCAGATGACCCTAGAATGAAGCCTGCACTTTGCTCCCACAAGTTAAATTTTAGCTTTGCCAAGCATCAGGTGTATTTATTTACAAATATTCATGCCAACGAAGTCTATTGTTCTAATTATGAAATTTAATAAAATGTTATATAAGGCAGTGACTTTATTAGTACAAAAATGAGATTTTGTTCCTATAAAATTACTGTGAATGCTTTTGAAAGAAATCAGTAAAAGAGACTGTTAAGAACATCTGCTGTCAAAGTAGCTCTGGGTAAGTTAAAGACGAGACAAAGACATTAAAATGTATAATTATATGTGTCAGTCACGCTGCAAATGAGGATTTTAGATATGAGAG